ATCTTCTCGAAAAAAGGAGTTCACATAAGTAGGTCTATCCACATTTCTGGCCAATGATTGCGTTGCATGGCGTTTTTGTGCCTTGAAACCACGTACAATCGGAGTTGTCTTTGTATGGGAGCGTATGCATTTTATTTTGATATAAAACGTCTATCACTTTAGAAAGTGCCGGGCTCTATGCCAACCGTAGAAGATAATTAGCACCACTATGAGGTTTCGATCGTGGCTTATACAGATGACTTTGCTGATGGGTGTTTGAAGAAGTGTAAGTCTTCTTAACTGTTGTTGGTTGCTTTGATGTTGCACGACGAAACAACTATGAAAGACCTAGGTGGTAGAAATAGTTCACGAGCGGCGTTTTCATAGTCGCCGAGACGGTGTAGTTGCCTGCATCCGATGTTTTCTTGGGCAAACGGGCGTGTTCTTGTCGTTTTCGGTCGAGTTTCAAGGTTAAAACGATACCCATCTACGGCGATTCAAGCATTAATAGGGCGAATAAGGGTTGAGTAGTTAGTTAACCTTGGCAGTATGCACATTGTTGTCGTGATGGATGTAAAAGTGACATATAACTAGTTTTTTTCAAACCGACTTTCAATCTTTGAGACCTTGTTACGCGCGCAGGTTATTTCACTGCGACGACCCTCGATTGGGCAACTTCTCTCTATTCCCTGTTGACGTACACACTAAACCGTTTAGCCTGCTGCGGCAACCCACATGTGATGCCTCTGTGCTTGGTTGAGATGACCTGATATGCGGCTTTGTATGCCAGTATTAGCTTTGGACAGGTTGAGGATGGTGAGACACACAGAGCTTTATGATCTAACATCTTTGATGAAGGACTTTGTATTCCACGCAAAAACCGGGCGGTTAACTAATTTCAATTACTTACATACGTCTTCTTGGCATTATTTTGCCACTGACATCCGCGGTATATGGTTGGCTGTGAAATGTCCTTGTCCACCCTGTGCGTGCCATTTGTCAGGAGTTTTTGTACGTCTGTCGAAAATTTTTCTCTTCACTTGGGAGTCGTCTTAGTCATCTTAGCTTTGAACTCTCTTCAACTTTCATGCTTATATTTGGCACACTGTTTTATGGGTGTTTGTAAAATATCAGTTTCTGGTAAAACGAAAGCTAGTCTACTGGAATTAATCCTAAAACAACAGTTAGCGAATTCACAAACTGAAATTTGGAGCCGAAAGAACTTCAGCATTCTTAGAAAAAAAAACCGGTTTTGGATGTTGTAATTCAGATAATTTACGCGGACACAAGTGCCAGTTCTCAAATTCGGTAGGATCGCCTCACTTTGCATGCCAGCTTGCTCTGTCATGATGCCCGTGGTTAACATTGAAAGTCGTCGTGCATGTAAATATCGATTTGCTTCCCAGAGGCTCCCGTCTTTCGCTAAAATAAAGGCCTCTTCTGCATTGACGGAAGAGCCCCTCACGCTCTACATCGACCATCTAGATCTTTGACCCCCATAACCTTGTCAATTTCATTGCGTACTTCACGAATTCCACCGTGTGCCCACGCAGGCACGGTGACTTGAGAATCTTCCTCAGTAAACGGCCTTTTTTACATGTATCGAAAATATTAATAACTTTATGTTACTAGTTCGGTTCGATCTTGGGAGCAATTGGTGGAGCCAAGTCTTGAAGTAAAGCTCACTTCCACCAAGATCTGCATACCTGCCAATACAGGTGAACATGCGAGTCCCAGGACGTAATTGCGAAGAAGCAGGATCGCTGAATTAAGAGTTTTATTCGCCTGACGTTTCGAACTCTGTCTCGGATCCATCATCAGAGACAATAGCAGAAACGAATAACTCATACGCAGGAAGTTGCAGTGTTTACGGGATGCAGTCACTAAGATACTGCATCGGTATGATAATTAACAGCCTCCCTGTTGGGGGTAATTTCCCGCTTGTGCGCTATTTGCCTGATGGCCGGCGTGCGGGTCGTGACCTGCTGAAATTTTCATCACAAGTGCTGGACTTGGGCGTGATGACTGCTGGGCCATCTGGCTCCCTAGCGCTGACGTTAGACGATGCGTTTGCTTGTGTCTTCCCAAGTGGCGAATTGCTTTGGCCTCAGCCCTTAATCTGGATCGGACAGTTCGTCGCACTTGTTTATACACTGGGTCCCGTGGACCATGACTCAAGTAACTCGCAACTCACACGATTTTCACCTCTTGCAAATTCTCATGCATCATCTGTTTCACTAGCTCTTGTCTTGGCTGTCGCTTTGATGTACAATTTCGTGCCAGCATTCCTACCACTGGTTGGTAACTTCCCCTGTTGTTTCGCTTTTACTTCAACCCGTCTCAGTCCGCAACAGAACAACCCATCGCCTGCAAGCTGCTCACAGAGGATGAAAAGCAAAGGCTGGCTGCAAACCTGGGTACCAAGTGTACAGCCAACTGTGCGGCTGTCGTCTGTGTCTACGAACCGGAAGGATCCACCGATTGGCGTCTGCTTTACAGCGGAGTGGCAGCCATCGTGAAGGACCGAACCCGACGGTCATACTATGTCTGCGTCTACG